CTATATAAAAAAAAATTTAAATCCATGTAGGTAATAATTTTTGCGTGAAAGATTAACAAACATTCATCCACACTCACAAACTTCCGCATTTATAATTTTAGTACAATGTACAAAATAAATAATATTTACTCTTAATATGACTTTTGAAAATAATACAATAACATATATATTACTAAATGCACACATTTAATTAAAAAATAAAGTACATAATTGCTATTCAAATTTCGAATACAAAGTCATTTCGATTTGTGAACTAAACTGAATGGCCTATATTTCTTTTGGCTTATAAGAAACCATAAATTAAAATAAAAACAGTCCAACTATACAGGATGTTTATATAAACAGTAGCTGTTCTCGCGTGGTATTTAACATTATTTTTCTAAAATAAAAGTAGCCTAAAGAACTAAAAATTATTTTGATCGTCTTAATTTATTCGTTCCATTAGGTACTGATAGGTTCAAACTAATATATTTACATCCTGCATCATCCCTTATTTTATCTCTATGGGGGTTGAATTTATCAAAATCCTATTTAAGCGATCCCCTTCATCATAGTAGCTCCAATCTTTAATTTCAGTTCAATCAGTCGAAAACGTAAGATTTATACAAACTTTCATCCCCTATTTTATCCCCTTAGGGGACGTATTTATCAAAATCCATTTTGGGCAAAGACAGTAATCACTTCGAGATTGTCATAAATAAATTCACATATTAACAAGGTCCTGTGATAGACATACTCCTGCATAAGTTGGCAATCTCGAAATCAGTAATTATATCAATATTTTATCGTAATAATACAATCAATAATAATCGGATTGACCGTCATTATGAGGGTCGAGCTCCGCCGTTAATGTTTTACAATTCAATTAGCCCACCAGGTGTTGGCTTGCAGGAAACTCTTACTTGCACCGCAACAATTTAATATTCAAAAGAGTTTTATTAGAGCAGATAACGATGTTCATAGTTGTATTTTAGTAATTTACAGTTGGCCGCTCTACCAGCTTAAAGGTTGAATAATAATGACGCTATTTATAAGTGGTTAGATAATGAAATATTTATTGAAGGTTGATGGGAAGCGAAAGTTACGTCAGCTATAACAAATGACTGGGATATTTTATATTGTATTTATTAACAAATGTTGGCAAGTATATTAAGGTTTGAATACTTTATTGCACCTGAAATTATAACGTATTGCCCGCTATTTGTTTTTTATAGTTTTATGAGATATACATTTCAGTTGATATATAATAATAATAATAATCCATCTCCCCTCCTTAAGAGATGAATTAATGAGAAACCTCCACGCGGTTCCCCCTGGAAACAATCGTGTTAAATTCCTGGTGAATTTGTCACGATGGGTTAATTAACCTCACCTCATACTCATCTTATCATCCTCCACTGGTGCCCCGCCAGCGTAAACCGTTAGCGCAGGCGGGTGCACCATTCCATTATTCCACAAAAGGAAAAAGAAGCAAACGCATTATATATAACTACAATATATAACAACTAGAATATTAAATAAATATTTAAGATAAATATGGCTGTATATAAATAAAATAATAATAAATGAATTGTATTCGCCAAATGTAATTTAAATCGTTTCAAAATCCAGGGTCAGGCATAGATAGATAGATAAAAAATTATTCACGTTAATAATTAGGCACACACACAAGGCACTGTAACATTAAGAACAAAATTAAAAACACATATACAACCAGCTTTTGCCCGGCTTCGCTCGCGTTAATTTATCCCCTTAGGGGTGGAATTTATCAAAATCCTTTCTTAGGGGATGCCTACGTCATAGTAGCTTTATGCATGCAAAGTCTCAGCCCGATTGGTTTAAAATTGACAAAGTTTCATACAAACTTTCATCCCCTATTTTATCCCCTTAGGGGTAGAATTAATCAAAATCCTTGTTTAGCGGATGCCTACGTCATAACATCTACTTGCATGCCAAATTTCAGCCCGATCTTTGAGTTATGTATTATGTAGATTACATTAGTCAAGTCAAACAAAATACAATACACGACAAATATACAGATAAAATAAAATGTAATACAGTTACAAAAAAAAACTGTATGAGTAACGTAGTGTGTGTGCATAGCCCATACTCAAAAAGGCAGCACCTCAGTGTGTTGTATGCTGCATATATATTCAGAAAAATTGCAACATATGCAATAAAATATCAAATTAAACCATGATGCTTTGATGCTCAGATGATTACAAAGATAAGTCCGCAAAAACGTGCCTAATATTCAGAAATTGCAACCCCTGATTCATAGACTTGAAAAATCCAGAGTTGTATTTCTCCGGGAACACAAAAGCAGGAAGTGCGTCCCACTCTTTGGTCTCCCCTCCCATCGATCCCCCGTCCAATTCAAACGGGGATCGAAATTACGACGGCCTGAGCCGAGGTTCGGACCCCTAGTGGTGCCCTCAGACTAAAGTCGTATCCGTCAGGCAGGAGTTGGCCTTCAGCCGCTCCATAAGTCCTTCCGCGGGTTTGGAGTGCCATCTGCACTCGCCCCCTAACGTCCGGTAAAGCTGTAAAGGCCAGCTACGGCCAACAGCATTAGAGTAGTCCGAAAAAAAACCACTCTTTGGTAGCACGTATTAGAAAGGTGTATAGAAATGTTCCATGCTGTGTTCGAACAGGTGTGGACTCCAGAATGTTAAATTATTTACTCATACCACTAATTATCTAAGTAAATACAATGCATCGCTTTGCTGGACTCTCTCCAACGAGTTAAATATATAATTAAAATGTAATTATTCGTGACGATAGACGAATGTTTGTTAAATAAATTGTGTTTTTATCATACACAAAGAGTCCACTTCACTTGTGTCCGCTTGGTTGATTTGATTGTATCTTTTAACGGATTTTTGTTAGTAATAATTAATTATATTTGATTGAATTTTTTATGTAATTATTGTAGGAAGTAACGCCAATCATGTGACAACCGTGAGACTAGTCTTCCGTTGTTATTGGAAAGAATTACGATGTGATGCATCATCTCGTAACTTCACAGCACTAATGTGGTCACGGTGGTCTAGCGGTTTTGCTTTACTTCCGATGGTCGCGGGTTCAATAAATTGCAAACATTTGTATTCATGACATATGATTTTATTCGTTACATGTGATTTTTATTATTAATATGATTATAAAAAAATCTGAGTATTTATACCAGATAGTCTAGTATCCATAAGCTCTGCTTGTAGTGGAACTAGATGGCGCTGTGTTAATTGTCCGGGGTTATTTATTATTTTCTCTAAGTGTAAATTAAAAAATAGTACCACTTAATATTGGTACTATTTTTTTAAATTATATTTAGTAAAAAAACAAATCGAATGATGATTGATGTCATATTTCAAGAACTTATCTTATACATATAAATAAAATTGAAGTGTCTGTTTGTAATATTTAAATAACCATTTTTTACTACATGCATACTTATGAATATAAATACGGTACATACACCAAAATAACTTTTTTTACAATTTTTTTTCCGTCTGTCTGTCTGTTCCTGCTAATCTCTGAAATGACTAGATAGACTTGGATCGAACTTTTTTTGGCAGGTAGCTGATGTAATAAGGTAAGTAGTTGATGTAATAAGGAGTAAATTAGGCTACTTATATTTTAGAATAATAAAGTTAAATTCCACGCGGTCGAAGTCGCGGGAACTGCTAGTTTATAATAAAATCTAATAAATTAAAATTATTGCTGCTTTTTAGCAACAATTATTTTAAATTATTTTCTTAAGACATAATCAAATAACCTCAGGTAATTATATTCATATTAATTATAATTACAAATAAATTAAGGTTGAAGTACAGTTTTTTGTTAAGAGGAAAATAAATAGAAATGTATTTAATTAAACTCCATATTTAAGCACTTCCCACACAAGTAATGCACACATAATATTTTTTTTCATTCTACTACTTATTCCCAAAGAAATCTCATCACAAGAAGAAAGAGAAACTTGCATGTAGCTCTCTTAAATTTTGTGTGAATACAAACTGCTAAATAGCAAGACTGACAAAAGTAAATAAATATATTAACTACATGAGTAACAAACAAAATGAGTCATAGTTATCAGAGCAGACCAGTGCCTACAAGCAGCAGCCATTCACAATTATAATGGACTAGCTACTCACCCCGGCTTCGCATGAGTGTACATGTATTATACATAAACCTTCCTCTTGAATTACTCTATCTATTTAAAAAAACTGCTTCAAAATCCGTTGCGTAGTTGTAAAGATTTAAGCATACATAGGTATGGACAGACAGCGACAGCGACTTTGTTTTATACTATGTAATGATGAGCCAGCCATCACTGTGGTCAACTTTATTTAAGGAAACCCAATAACCTGTCCCACTCTTGATGATCTGACCCAATGATCTGTACCACCACTTGCATGATCATTATGTAGTCTAATGACCCATCACACCATGTCACCACTTATATAGTCATTTATGTCAACAGGGTTGACTTATAACACTAAACTAAACTCCAGAACCACTATATAGTGTTATATACTAGTCTTATACGGTTTGAAAGAAACCTTTATTCAGTCATACAGGCTGAATATTTTGTCAATATATACAAAGTGAATAATTATGAGTACTCAGGAGAAGCCATTAGAAAATACATATTATAAATCATTAACCTTTCAAGTGTTCAAAAAAATACAAATTCAAAACAATAATATGTAGGTCTATTACTGATTCTTATTATATGTCAAATCTACAGTCAATTCTGAATGATTTTGAGATGAGAAGACCTGACTAGAAACTCAGCTTGTATTCTTTTTAAACAATACAGATTCACTTTTAAATTCAAATCACACACATACATGTTAGCTGTAAAATGACACTAATGTCCCATCTTTAAGACCAACAGGACTCCTCACAAATGGGAAGAATCCAAGTGTGTATAGTGTCTGAATCCAATAATTGATTCCTTTGCAGATGAGAGGTTAAGTAATGTAAATATTTCTTACCTGCATATTGTAGGTGCTCATTTTGTTCACTTTCAGGACATCACTTTCCGAAGCCATTTTATTAAACATTTGTTTTCTCTCTTTTACGGATATTTTTTGTTCGTTATCAACTAGCATGCTTTCGCTACGACATGATGTCAATATCGGTGCTTCTGATACATTCTCTTGGTTCAATATTGAAGACAGTTGTCCTCCTTGGTTTACACTTGGTTTTTTTTCACTGCCAGTCTTGTCAGATGATTTTCTTCTTGGATACACTTTAGGCGGAATATCTTCTGAAGGATATTCTATACTATCATTAGCAGGGCTTAGTAAGCTATCCTTTAAGGGAGATACTAGGCTATCTTTCAAGGGACTCGCAAATATATCCTTTGAGCTACTTTCTCTTACTTCTGCCTTGTTTCGTAATGTTACAGTATCTTGAATTATAGAAGACAAAACATTGAAATCTTGGTTAAGTTGCACAGGAAGGGGATGAGTTGGTATGTTTGTGTCTTGATGGGAAACAGTTTCAGCTGTGTTAACAGCTGTCAGCTCTAAAGGTTTACTTTCCTCCTCATTTTCTTTGCCACTGTTGGGCATATATTTCTTTCTAAGTATCAACCATTTCTCATTGTTTTGATTCTTTATTAATGTTAAGGAGTTTACATGTTTTTTAAATGTGGTTCTGGCTTCATCTGAAACAATGGATATTGTATAAACTTAACAATAGACAATAAAACCAATGTTTAATCTTATATTGTAAAAAAAATATTAAATTTAGCATATTAGCTAGACTCCAAAATCATAAAACACAAACTTGTAGTCTATGACACATAGTTGTTCATAGTATAGGAAATCTGAATATTACTTGAAATCTTATTAAATAACTAGCTTTTGCCTATAGCTTCACTCACGTTAATTTATCCCCTCAGGGGTTGAATTTATCAAATATATAAATAATAGTTTTATGCCTGCAAAGTCTCAGCCCGATCGGTTTAAAATTGACAAAGTTTCATATAAACTTTCATGCCCTATTTTATCCCTTTGGGGCTAGAATTAATCAAAATCCTTTCTTAGCGGATGCCTACGTCATAACATCTACCTGCATGCCAAATTTCAGCCCGATCCATCCAGTGGTTTGGGCTGTGCGTTGATAGATCACTATGTCAGTCACCTTTGAGTTATATATATTTAGATTACATACAAAATAATGTATGTGAAGGACAAGTTACTTAGACCAGATATATATATATATTCTTATCCTTCATAAAACTTATATAGAGTATGAAGATAGAGTATAAAGTAGAAATTCTCAAAATAGAAACATTACTGATGCTTGAACATACATATTATTGCAATAAAAATATCTACAAGGGATTATTTACAGCAATAAGACATTTTTTATTATGCACTTTACGACATGCGTTTTTTAGCATAACTATATGGCAATAAAAAGTTATTGTTGTATTTCTACAATAATTATTCAGAGTCACTAGCTTTACTTGTTATTAATAACTGTATACAGAAACAAGTATTTCAATGAATTTTTAATGTAATGTAATTTAAGATAAGAAATTACCGAATTTACTCACCTCTCATATCCGGATTCATAAGAAAAACTTTAAAATGTTTCACTAATTCACGATTGGTAACCCTCCCATTATGTTCCAGCATATATTTGAGGATTTCGTCGAAACTCAGCTCCTTGGGACCCGACATCATTTAATGTTTATTAATAAAAAATTACTAACAGTAAACAATTAGTTCATTTCTTACGAAACAAATAGATAACTTATACAGTACTTGTATATGTCAAATGCATACGTCAAACTGGAAAAGTGATTTTGACATTTGTCGTGGCGTTCCGTTATACGCTCAAGTACTACTTCTAAGTGAATAGTCATTTTGGTGGAACTTGTCTGACTTTAACGATTATTTTTACAGTATAACAGACTTATAAATTAAAATTAATAATTCTTATTACGACAATAGTATAATTTACATATCATTACATAGTATAAAATAAAGTCGCTCCCGCTGTCTGTCCGTCCCTACGTATTGCTTAAATCTTAAATGCAACGGATTTCGAAGCGGTTTTTTTTAATAGATAGAGTGATTCAAGAGGAAGGTTTATGTATATAATACAAGTAAGCCGGGGCGAGTAGCTAATGAAATATATAAGAGAACATTTAAATACATAATGATTTAAACTAGTGGTTGCCTGGTGATCGAAATTCGACCCTAATTAATTTAAATTATAAGTTTGAACTTAACTTAATAATAAGTTTCCAATTCAGATTACTGCTATACAACTTTCTTTTTAGATTTTATATTACATTTATAATTGTATATTGAGCGGTGTTTCAATTTTTACGTTACGTTTTGTACAGACCTCTGCCTGCCGTCCGTACAACCACAAAATTTATTTATATTGCGGTGTAACAGAGAGGTGATTCGTTTCATTGTTGCTTACAGAGGATATTGGGAATTGCGGACGCAACACTGTGGCCGCAACAATATTTGAAAAACGTTGTTTGCTGACGGAATATTGCTATATTTAAGTTGTTATAATAATGAATTAATTTAATAGTGATGCCGTAAATACCTATAGGCTGTCCTTAAAATGTTTAATTTTATTTTTTTATAATATGGCATTAAAAATATATGCAACCCTAAGTTTTTGCACTTCTAGCATCAACGCCATTTTTAATTGCGATTTTAATTTATATGGCAATACAACGTTTGCGTGGTCAGATAGTTTTCAATAAAAATATATTATTTACCTGTATTGTTTTCTCTTTATTTATTTAGGAGTTTAGGTTAGGATCACAATAGCATGTTAGTATTTTTTTTAAGAATGATAATGTATTGAGTTCTAGCGTCAACGCCATTTTTAATTGCAATTTTAATTTATATGGCAAAACGACGTTTGCGTGGTCAGATAGTTTTCAATAAAAATATATTATTTACCTGTATTTTTTTCTCTTTATTTATTTAGGATCACAATAGCATGTTAGTATTTTTTTTTGTTTACGCTGGCGGGGCACTCGTGGAGGATGATAAGACGAGCATGAGGTCAGGTCAGTTATCCCATCGTGGTAAATACACCATGAATTTATCACGATGGTTTCCAGGGGGAACCGCTTGTCGGTCGACCTGACATGGTACATTGCTAGCAATAAATATCTCAGGACAATTCACACAACGCCATCTAGTCCCAAGCTTAGTGGAGCTTGTGTTATGGATACTAGTCAACTGATACAAATATATGGATGCATTTTTTTTTTATAAATAAATAGAAAACGCCCAGACAAATACAAACAATCATACCCATGAATACAAATGTTTGCACCGAGCGAGGTATCGAACCCGCCACCATAGGATAGTAAAGCGGTATGCTAAGCCCCTAGACCACCGAGGCTGTCATATCGTGGTCGTATTTATGTAGGACAATTTAGACTCTTATGAACGTAGTTTTTTTATTTTATATTATTTTCCTACCGTCCAGTTCAGTATATAGATCTAAATGAGAAGTACTGGCAAGAAAATCAATTGAATTACTTTTTTTTTTAAAGACAGATTTTTACAATATATTTTTACACCATCAGTCTTGTTACTAACAGTCTCCTTGCCCCAGGATATTAATATTATAAATTTAATTACACACATTCATCCTTATTTGATGGGAATAGCTGATTACTCCGTGCTCAGACTGGACAGCAAAAGTCCTCGTCTGGTATTTACTTTATAAAACCTATAAATAAATTGCATTCCCCACAATCCTCTTAGTCTGAGCTGTAGTTTTGAACGAAAGAAATATCCAGTCAATATTTTATTTGCAGTTATAATGGTGGTATGTAATTTTGTACCACTGGTACTAACGAGTTATCCACTGTTATATTAAATTGACGGCACAGCACTTTACTTCCAATAGTCGTGGGTTCGATTCCTTACACGATGTTATTTTGTAATAACACAAACATTTGTATTCACATATATGTCAGTCAGCCTAAACGGTATATAAGTGTAATAAGTGTATGTATGTATTTATAAAAAAAAATGTGTTTATGTATTTGTATCAGTTATCTAGTAGGTACTCATAACACAAGCTGTGCTTGGCTTGGGACTAGATGGCGCTGTGTAAATATTTATATCATCATCATCCTCATCGCAGCCCGGAAGACGTCCACTGCTGGACATAGGCCTCCCCCAAAGATCTCCATGACGATCGTATATTTATATAAACATATATAAATGGATTTATATATATATATATTTTTTTCTATCTGCGATCAGACTTTCCATCTATAATTAGATTTGGATTTATATATACATAAAAATAAAATTCTTTCTTTTCTTTCTCTCTTATATAGATATATATACATACTCGCAGACCCAACCATACGTTGCTAAGAGCTTTGTTTCTTGAATAAAATAATATTGCGACTATAAATTGAGATGTAAGCTATCCTATCTTTTAAGTTGGATCAAATTGCACACAATGTGCAAATCAAATTTGCAATCGGTTCAGTAGTTTAGGAGTCCATCGCGGATAAACAACGTGACCAGTAATTTTTATATAAGGATATATATTTTATTAATAAAAATATTTTTATTTGTCTCAGATACTAAAGTATTACAATATCAATTCGTTTCGTATTTTTATATCAAATTAGTACACCACAGAAATGAAATGATGTAGGTATCTACTTACAATTTTCGAACTTCAGCACAGCTTTCTTCGATGGTCGTAGGTTCGATTCCTCGCACGATTCTAACATTTATATACATGAGTACGAACCGGTCAGGGTATTTTCTATCTATATCATCTACCACTATCATCTGCTTCTTTCTTATCCCATTTATTTGTGGTCGGCGTTATATGCTTTTCTGTTCCATTCATTTATTTACTCCCTTTCTTAACATATCATCTTTCGCACAGTCCATTCATCTCTTTTTCGGCCTTCCCTTTCTCTTATAACCTTTATATGTAACACCTTCCTTAAAATATTATCTTCATTCCTATCCCTGTTATATATCTACAAAAAACTTAATCTAAATATTGGTATCAATTGTCTAATACCCATAACACAAGCTCTGCTTACCTTGAGATTAGATGGTGTTGGGAATTGTCCAGATACATTGTTATTATTATTGATATCTTGATAATGAAATGGTTGGCGTAGTGCCATTTCTGCTCCGATTGACTGAACTGACTTGGATTGATTGATGAGATTGATATTATTGGGCCAAGTACTCACATATACTTCTATACTTATATGTTTCTCGTATACTTATATGTTTGAGAGCGTATTAGCTTAGTGGTTAATGGCTAACCATGAGGTCGAGAGTTCAAAATTAGTTGACACAAAAAAACTATGTGTCTCTTAACTTATTTGTATCTCTTTTATAGCATAGGGGACAAACGAGCTTCGGGCTTACCTGTATACTATACTATCTATGATAAGTGATTATGTGCTGCCCACGAGTACCTACCCGCAGACAGAAGGTTGTATCAGTCACATTATTCACTCATTATAATGTTTAATTAACTGTATTTAAGTTACATATACGTCTATAATCAATTTATAACTTATATGTATTATATAATACATGTAAATATATATTTAATATTTGATCATCATCATTGCCTTGCCTTTATCCCATTATTTGGGGTCGGCGCAGTGTGACATTCTCTTCCATTGCTCTGTATCGGTCGTCATATCTAAACATACTCCTCTTTTATTCATATCATCTTTCACACAATCCATCCATCTTTTCTTAGGGCGTCCCCTCCCTTTACATTACATATAACTTATATATGTACACTTTTATAAAAAATATTAAATATATATTATTAAAAAGTGATAACATTAGGGTCGGCAATGTACACGTAACGTGACATCCCTGGTGTTTCAGGCGTCCATAGGCTACGGTAACCATTTTCCATCAGATGGGGTATAGTTAGCCATAAAATTAGCCATAAAATTAAAAAAAAAAACTACATATACACACTTTGCATCGTCGTATTCAAGATATCCAGAAGTAAAGTAGAGTAAAGAGTTTTATTATATTCTTTTTTAAATTTTAGTGCATTAGAGACCGCAACGCTGTAAAAGTTCCCAACAAATACTTTTTTATGTTTTGCCTCAAATTTTACGTAAGAAAAAGTTAGGAATATAAAAATATTAACAACCTTTATTTATAAAGTATTTTCATTATAAAGTTACCGAGTACAGAGTAATTAAAAGCCAATTTTAGTTTAGTTAAATATTTAAGTTGGTATTTTGTAATAAATTTTCTATATTTATGTAGCAGAAGGTTATGTTACAAAACATGGTCTATTTAGTGTATCTATTACTAAAATAAAATATTATTTTTTTGTGAAGATGAGTAAAGGCGTACTCCTTAAACCTACACACACACCACCCGGTTCACAAGTCCGGGAACTGCTCGAAGTTTTCTTCTCTGCCACACGATGGACCCGGCACCCCACATAGTGATTCCATGGAATGGTACAAGTTCATATCCTTATAACAACCAGAGAATGATAAAGGGGATAGGCGTCAAATATGTTTCTAACTTAGCGTGTAACAAATAGAAAATTGTAACTTTTTTTTTTACATTTCTCTCAAAAATTCGTTTACAATTTGGATATTGGTTTTGTAGGACTCTCGCTTCGGTCTATCATGTATGCATGTAAGTATTGTTTTGACAGCTTTATCTTTACACTATAGAGTTTCTTTAACTTT